AAAGAATTAAGTTAATCAGTACATTAAGAAACTTCATCCTAGAGTCAATCTGCAAAGAATTAAGTTAATCACTACATTAAGAAACTTCATCCTAGAGTCAATCTGCAAAGAATTGAGTTAATCACTACATTAAGAAACTTCATACTAGAGTCAATCTGTAAAGAATTAAGTTAATCACTACATTAAGAAACTTCATCCTAGAGTCAATCTGTAAAGAATTATGTTAATCACTACATTAAGAAACTTCACACTAGAGTCAATCTGTAAAGAATTATGTTAATCACTACATTAAGAAACTTCATACTAGAGTCAATCTGTAAAGAATTAAGTTAATCACTACATTAAGAAACTTCATACTAGAGTCAATCTGTAAAGAATTAAGTTAATCACTACATTAAGAAACTTCATCCTAGAGTCAATCTGTAAAGAATTAAGTTAATCACTACATTAAGAAACTTCATACTAGAGTCAATCTGTAAAGAATTAAGTTAATCACTACATTAAGAAACTTCAAACTAGAGTCAATCTGTAAAGAATTATGTTAATCACTACATTAAGAAACTTCATACTAGAGTCAATCTGTAAAGAATTAAGTTAATCACTACATTAAGAAATTCAAACTAGATATATAAGATAAAAGTAACTACGTAGGCAGTGAGTTATAGTGACTGGTTGCTTGTTATCTGTTCAGCAGTCCTAAATTAGGGATGGCTATGCTTGCACCTTAGGGGTTCTGTCCTGGCTGCTTAGACAGTGTGTTGCATAAGGTGCTTTTCAGGATTTAAATATCAGCTACCTAATTATTGATTAAATTATATTGAAACACAGTAACATTTCAGTTGTTCTTTTCTATACACATATTCATCCTATTTATTTTTGTATTGTATATTTTTGCTAGATATTTACCCGAGTTTGATTATTGATTTCATAAAGAAAAGGCTTATTTTCCAATTGTGGCACCTTTTATCTGCTAAATTAACAAGATGTCTGTTATTCACTAAAGGTTGGAGGTACCTTTTCTTTAATACATATTATATATTTAAACAGCGAGATCGACTATCGACTTAAAACTACCACAGCTTAAAGTGTAGAGAGTGCAAAGCAACATACCATGGCTCAAACTTATTTAAACAGCAAGATCGACTATCGACTTAAAACTACCACAGCTTAAAGTGTAGAGAGTGCAAAGCAACATACCATGGCTAAAACTTATTTAAACAGCGAGATCGAATATCGACTTAAAACTACCACAGCTTAAAGTGTAGAGAGTGCAAAGCAACATACCATGGCTCAAACCTTGGACACAGAGCCCAGATTGTTCACACTGAGGCAACAACACTCAACCACCAAGTGATACTGAGAGAAAGAAAAAAAAACATTGCTAATTCTAGTAATTGCTAATGAAAGATTTGTGAGTAACATAAACTCATGCGTACGAACAGAAATTCTACGCAATCTCAAAATAGCCAATTTTGGTACCAGAATACTTGTGCAAAACATAGAAAAAAATCAAAAATTGTCTCTATCACCTTCAAGGTGTCTTTGTACCAAATCTCAAGTAAGTTGGTTGACATACACATGAAGACTTCATGAAAAACCCCAAATTGTACTTTCCTCACTGAAAGATTGAGCAAAAGACAAAATTCCATGCATATTGGACCAAGATATAATCCACAAAAAAATGAAGGAATGCCAGTTGATTGAAAAGTGTTTGGAAGAACAAGAAATAATAGACAAGCAGTATGTCACTCCACGGAGACATAAATAGGGTTATTAAGATTTTTTATGGGAAAAAGATAAATAATGACCTTAAAAAATAAGAATGAGAGTCAAAAAGTAAAATGGAAGAGATGTATGGGTCAATATTTCAAACATAGTATCAATCAAGCACAAAGAATAAGTAGAGAGAGCAAAGAACACACTCTGAACTTGTTCCAAGGAATAGAATGGCCATGCAAAGGAAAGGGAAGTCTGTGACATTTCAATATTTCTTTCAGTATCCAATACCAAGAATAATGAATAATATTGTTAAAAATCAATCAATACAACAAAATATGTGGCTTATCAACATTCAAAAATAAACTCAACCATTATGTGGAGATCTTTATATATGGCAGAATTATTAAAGACAAAACTTCCCTAAAAATAAACCGTACAGGACAGTAACATGCGCATAGTAATACTTAACATGAGCATTTTACAGTGACGGGATGAAAGCATTACTACTTCATATACTTGAAAGTCTACATAAAAGAATACGTCTTTAGAAATCATCAAAGCAAAATCACAAAGGTAATTTTGAACAAAAGTACATGTTATAATAAAACCTTTTTCCTTTTATATCGAATAAACACTTTTCACTCATAACAAACTTTACGATTTTCTTATATCATTATATCTTTTAATATCTCTAATATATCACATTCCAATTATAAGAACGGCTACACAAGATATTTATTTTTTTTAAACAAATATCACATACATGATTGATCATAAACAAATAATAATTCAAAATAAAATTCAAAATGGCTCCATAAATGAAGCTTATGTTTTTAGAAAGCATTTATAAAAAAAAAAGAATAAAAAACAACTCAAAATCTAAGCATTCTGTGGGTGAACTACAACCATTATAGTATCAATTAATATACTGGTTGCTATTTAAATGTAACTGTGTATTTTGGCAAACCAAGTTATTTTTTTTCTTAAAATGGAAAGCAGCCTAACATTAGTGAAAAACTATAGTAAATGGAACAAACTAAAAGAAGATGACATGAGAGTGAAAAGATCAAGCAAATGTGTTGAAACTAAGTCCTCTTATTTCAAGTCTTCTGATAGTTTTTAGTTACCATGATTTTTCACTAACTGCTACAAACACCATGTATATTGTGTTAGTTTATTAAAGCCTAAAATGTTTGGGCTTTTTTTGAAATAACAGTTTGCTACTTGTTGGTTGTACATAAGCAAGAAAAACATTTATTTTATGTCATCATAAATTTTTTTTTACAGGCATAGACCCTCAGGAAAAAACAACAACAACATTAGCCATTAATTTTCATAGCAGTTTTGAGGAAACAAACATGTGTGCATTAACAGTTTGGAAAAAAAAGTTTCAAAGAATGAGCTGCTACTCATTTTTACTAATATGTGAAACAGGTAAATATCTCAGGAAGTAACACAAACGTCCCTTAGATTATGACACACGTCATATTTCATAATTTGGCACTTTCAACAGAGAATGAATAACATTTATAGCCTACTACATTCTTGGCTTGATTGGATGAATGATAATACACATCAAGACATAATGACTTTTCCATCTACTTCCACTAAATAGGTTAAATGAGTTATAAAATATTCTTTCTCTTTGAAATTTTACAAGAAAAAGACACCAACGACTTATCCCTCGACCTGAACAAACAGCAGTAACTAATATTTATGATTTTTTTTTCCTCCCACTGAGCATGCTGAAGAGTTAGTTACATGAATTCATTATCTAAACTTAGTATGTTTGGTTTGTCAAAAAAATAAGCTGTATTTTGTACATTATTAGTTAATGAAATTTTGTAAATAACTAAGGAGTCTGATCTTTTATTTTTAACTTATAAATATTTGGTAATTCTAGCTAATAAAACTCTAAGGAGATATTTTTAAATAAATCTTTTATTCCATGATATCCATCAACTCATTTTTACAGCTGATACGTCTCAGTTTTGTTAATCTTATGACACTTATTCATTATACTCTTTCAAATCATCACTAACATGCTACTACCACAATGAATTCAGAAGTTTCAAGAAATATATAAAATAGTGGATTAAGAACATGACAGTTATATTTTTCTAACAGGGTAGTTGGCCTCTGGAATGGGTTGCCTACGGATGTTGTGGAGGCAGTAAATTTAAATGAGTTTAAGAAAAAGCTTGATAAGTATATGAATAATAAGGGCTGGCTTTAAGATATTTATTTATTTGATAGTTTAAGTTTAGTTTAGAGGATGAGACAGCCGAGTTGGATCAATAGGTCCCACGTTGTCCCAAAACGTTATGTTAAAAAGTTTTATCCTTAGAAAAAATATGTTAAGGAGTTACAAGTATCCACTGTATCAGAATACAGCTATGGGGTTTAATAAAAATAATATTAAAAATTATATTTTGGAGATTTAAAACATATTTACAGGAAAAAGAAGAATTTCAAAAATGACACTAAATGAAATAGTATATTTAACATCAAACTACATTACTGGTGGACTAAACAAAAATTAACCATTCTTACATAAATATAAAATACATTTCAAAGAAATCATGCACAGGGCTAAAATATATGTTTGAACTGCTTCTAATGTTTCCTTAGTGGATCAGTAATGTAGGTTGTATTGTTACAACAGAAAATGTTGCGCAATTGGAAATACAATGGATTCAATCGCATAAAAAATAAAGCATCTCAGTTATTACATGATTAGCAAAATAACGCACATCAAATGATCCTATTTTTCGATAAAAATAAAGCAATAAACAAAATACTATACAAATAATCTTTCAAGTACATACATAATAAGTGATAAAACTATCAGATAAATAAGTGAACATTTCATATTTTTTAGTTCACAGAATTTGACCCTATTATACATTAAAGCTCATCTGTATTGTGACCAAATTTGACCCTGGTATATTAAAGCTCATCTGTATTGTGGCCAAATTTGACCCTGGTACATTAAAGCTCATCTGTATTGTGGCCAAATTGGACCCTGGTACATTAAAGCTCATCTGTATTGTGGCCAAATTTGACCCTTGTACATTAAAGCTCATCTGGATTGTGGCCAAAAACTCATGAATTAAAAATAACAAAATGTGGATGAATTTACTCTAAATTACAATTCTAACAATCTTGTTTTTAACATTAACTTTGTTCAATAGAAAGTAGCATTGCTACTGAAACAACACTGAAGTGTGAAAAAAAATCTGAAGTTTTGGACGAATATTTGTATTCCAAACAAATGTGGATAAAAGTAAGGTGGTGTGTAATTTCGATTGTTATTTTAAGTACACAAACATCTAAAAAAATAATAGTAAGATAAACAGGAATATTATCTTACTCAAACATTTTTTTCAGTTCAAGACAATTATGTTTAAAGGGGGAAAAAAAAAAGACTGTTAATACCGAAGAGCTTTAGCATAGAAGTAACTTCCTCGGGACGATAAAACTTTGTGGCAATTAGCAAGTAAAATCTACAAGCTATTGTAAAACATCATTATTGAAACTTTAACTGTAATATTAAGTCAAACATTTTAAACACTAGTGGAGAAAAATAGCAAAATAACATGATTCGTACATCTGGATGTAAAATATATATATATACTTTTCCTATAAAAAATTGAGCTAGATAAAAAAAATGTATTCATCCTGTGACATTGTATGTTCACAAAAGTTATTTTTAAAACCTTACCTTAGAATTCAGAGAAAAGAGTAACTTTTAGTTAGTTACTTTGGTTTATTTAATTCTACATAAATCTGCAAGAGGGTTATCTGCACCAGCCATCACAAATGTTGAAGTGATAGACCATACAGTTAGTTCTGACTATCACTTTTATAAGCATGCACGTTCCCAAAGTATAAAGCACAACTTGTTTTGGAATTTGTTGTAATAGGAAGTGAACTACCAAAACTCAGTTACACAGTTTTGGCACTCTAGCCACTGAGTTGTTCTTATTAGCCTTTAACCTTTAGTAAATGGAAATAAAAAATATTTTACGTCAGTCGGTGATTCTTGTGTTTAGTACGAATTTCATCATTATCGATCTATACAATTTATGTCAATCCCAATAAAAATGAATAATAAAGAAACTGAAACGTTTTGTTACATGAAACAACACTCTAAACATACTAGCAACAAAACGTTTGTGCTAAAAACTCTTGAATTCATTGATAAGAAAAAAAAAAAGATGCAACAAGTAGAAATCTTATGTCATGATCTATTTGTCGGTCAGCTTTTCTTAAGTTTAGTGTTGCATAGATGCTTCAACAAAAGCGTTCCAGTGAAAATAGCCAGAACAAAAACATGTCCAACAAAATAAATGGACCACCAGTAATGAAGAGTTTTATCTACTCGCAACAGAAGAAAAGCCATCCCCATATATGCAAAGGCTTGCATTTTTATGACCCACCAAATCCAATCGAACACCTGCTTTCCTAGTGGGGATGCTTTTTTTTTAAACAATGTTTCCATCTCAGCCTCAGCTAACAGAAATAAAGGTGCACTTAACAAACACAAGTAGTATCCAGGGTAGATTCCATGCCAAAAAGAACTGACCAACATGGTCACTAGCATCCTGTGCAAAATCAATGAAAAATTAAAACACATAAATCTTTGTAAGAATCATTATAATTTAGTAAGTGATGCTATGGTTAGCCAAAGTAAAAAACAAACAAAACAATATATATATATATTTACTGACATTCTATAGAAAGGAAAAATCCCCTTTTTTGGACAAGGATCATAAAAGTAACATGTGAAATTTTATGTGTATAATACCAAAGAGAGCAAGAAATTATACAAGCTTGAGGTAAATACTTAAGGTAATATGTGTTTTGTTGAAATGTTTTAAGATTTCCCAAAGTTTGCTTGTAAAAACAGCAAGAAAAGTTGTAAAGGGGAAAATAAAACATACAATTTATATTTCTTCCTATAAAAAAACAATATGCAGAAAATTTATGTTGCAAAATTAAGCTTCACAATCAGACGATGAAAGAAAATTGGCAACTTTATTGGCCACAAATCTAATAGTACAATGCCATTAGATTTGGAAGTAGGAAGTCTTGAACAAACCACGGGAAGATTAATTTCACATACAAGTCTGGGATACGGATTGTGTATTGTTATTGACTAATATAAATATTATGCAATCTCTTTACCTATAAAAATTTTGCAAATAAAAAAAAAGGTTTAGAAACAATATATAACTCACTTTAACCTAATCAAAAGAGGAATATTGCTATAAGAAATAGGATATAGGCAAATAAATATAAAAAATACTTTCTTGTTTCTATAACTAATGTAACTGTATGTTATTCTATGTATGCAAAATTTTACATTTTTAGGATTGAAATGAATTTCAAACAGGTGCTTACCTCCAAGTGAAAGCATTGTTGAGTTTTAACTTATGCTGTCAAAAAAAAACATGTGACTAAAAATATTTGAATGTCCATTATGCATTGCAGAACATGCATCACTTGCCCACAATTCACCACTCTCCCACCTTTCACAACTTGTTGCCCAAGAGTTAGAGATATTTTACATAAGCTCTGCTTTTCTGTCATATTGATTTTATTGAAAGTTGCAGTCTTGATGAAATTTTGCTTGTGGGTAAGTGGGAGGAGAGGTATTATTTAGCCTAAGTATGTCAAATTTAAATAAGGTAGACTTCCTTCTGAAATACTGAAAGCCAGGACATTCACATTGTAAAGGAGGTGAGAACTGATTAATGTGAAAGATAACAATACAAAACTATAAGCTACAGGGCCAGAAGGTAATAACATAAGCCAGTGGGTCCCACCGATTGTTCGGAATACGAAATGTGTTTTAAAACATAACTACAGAATAACATTGCTTTACAATGTACCATAAAAGTACATTAAAAAATTGAATACTGTACAAAGTTATCCACAAAATTTTGGAATTAGATCTAGCTGGCTCGCAGCTGGAAAAAATGGTGGTGACCACTGACTAATATTATAAAAATTATCTAGTTATGTAGAAATTGATTAGAATCCAGAGCCAGAAAGTAACTTTCAGAATTGAATTCAAGGAACAATGAGTGGAATGGACCAGCCTCTTTAAACAACTGGACATAAAGGATACTCAGAAGGAAGGTATTGGATTCAAGGAAGAATGAGTGGAATGGACTAGCCTCTTTAAACGACTGGACATAAAGGATACTCAGAAGGAAGGTATTATTCTCAGCATGTGGAGTCG